AAATAGTACTATACTGTCTCAGAATAGTACAACACTTAACAAATTAGTACACTTGGTAGCAATAAAAGGGGCACATTCTTTAACTGAGTACACATTTTATAAATATTTAAATACCTTGTGTATTGATGACGCTTGCTGAACTTTTAAGCTGCTGGAGTTCTTTTGCACTGAAAGTTTCATCCAAGTCCAAGCAGCTTCCTGATTTTCTCTTGAGAACTAACAAGGCCTCTTTTGCTTTTGGGCCATTGTTGTTCCCTGGTCTGTGCATGTTTTCAGGACCATATAGAATATTCTCTCGCACGCAGCACTGGAGTGAGGTATGGTGAGGATCCCTTTCAATGGATGTGCAAGATTCTTAAAGGCTGGGTGCTTTTGGCAAATTGTTTGCCAAATCCTGTCAACTCTTACCCCATCCTCAACACACTCCTCAATGGTCCTCTGCTGATGTCTATCAAACTCTTCATGTATGGTGTCAACATCAGTCCCTCTGGGGATTAGAATGGGGAATCTGGTAAGGAAGTATTCTAGCTGGTGTTGTTTAATCTCTATTCTCCTTTTTGGATCAACTACAGAAGCATTCTGAAGTACATAATCCATTAGGGAAGTTTTTTTTTATAAGGTAGTCAAGGACCATCTCAAAATATTTTCTAACAGAAGCATAGAACTAGAACTCAACAACCCCTTGTCTCTGGGGCTGTACTTTTCTTTGTTTGCAGCATGGTCTTTGCCTGAGATCCAACAATCAGGTCAGCATCATCTTTCTGACTGCTTCTTAGCTTCCATTGGAACTGAAAGACAAAAAAAATTATAAACTAGTACTGTAGGTATTATGATAAACCATTTAGATGCTAATTTAAAACAAAAGAAATGTATTAAATTTGTCCAACTAACTACAACATAAATGCATACATTAACATAATCAATCTACACAAGCTCACCTGGTCAATACCATTAACTGCTGTTGGCAAGAGAAGCCTGCTGTATAAGTCACCAATTAGGCTGTAGGGATCTCCTTCTGCATGATGATCATGCCTTCTTCTGCCTGCTGTTGGACAAGTACCTGTAAAAATAACCATGTGTCATTAAAATGCTATTAAGTACAACAGTATGGTAAGGTAAATAATACAAAATTACTAATGTCCACTACAAACAACTTTGCACAAAATAAAATGAATCGTACGAAAATATTGCTGGTACAATGAAATGTGAGTAAAATTATGCAGCATTCAAGACTCATGAAATATAAGAATTCATCTCACCTGCATCATCTTTCTAAAATTTGAGTAAAGTTATGCAGCCTTCAAGACTCATTAAATATAAAAATTCATCTCACCTGATCATAAACTTTCAGTGTGTAAGACAAGAAATAGCAGTTAAGTTGATTTGTTAGTGACCGCAAAAAGTCATAAATGGCATCAACCTGCTTCACAGAGTAAGTTGTGCAATGTCCTTCCAACACAGCAGTTGTCTGCCCATCATGTGGTTTCTTATTTGGTTTGGAATTTGTACATTTTTCTTCATAAAAAAAGTGCATAAAGTGGTCTCAGTTTTCAAACAATCTTTTTAGGCATCTTGCAATACTAAGCCATCTGGTGCAGACATGCTTGATACTTTTCATCTGTTCTGCACCATACAGGACTTGCAGGTTCTTAAATTCACTCTGTCGCTTCACTTTTCTTGAAGAAGTAACAAACATCAACCAGGACCTCCTCAACTTGGGGGAGACAGAAAGCCCCCTTTTTAGCTGCAAGATGCACCAGATGGAGGCAGCGTCATGCCAGATAAATGTCTTACTCTCCTTTACTTTAGTAAAACTGTATACTCCATTGTAATATTGTATTGGCCAGTAATCACATTGGCATTGTCACAGCCAAATGCAATGCAATTTACCCATAAAATGCCCTGTGAATTCAATTCATCTGCCATGATCTTAAATATATTCTGTCCTGTGGCCGAGGATGCTTTGTAAAGCTAGGAGATGAAAATTTACAAGACCACCCTATCCTTCAATGGCGACCACTGGAGAGTACTGCTTTTTGTCTGAGTCTTTACTATCATCAGTAGCAATAGTGAATGTCAATCTCGGCATCCTAATGGCTAAATTCTTCATAGTCATTGCAGACATTTCTAAAAATCATAGCTGTTGCTATATATCTGCCAAATTTTATATCTGATATGAATAAAAGAAAATAATAAAGATATTAATGAAAATATCTGGTATGACAATAAAATAGTTATTCCTATGGCACAAATCATCTTTAAAGCTGCACTCAGAAATTTGCTCTTTTTATTTTATTAAAACCTAGCTTCTACGCAAACTACTTGATTTTGGAAAAGTGATTTTGAATTTAATATTTGACAAAAAGATGTCAAGGATGTACTTTTACTCAGTGCTTCGTTTAATGACTTACGGACTTTGATTTCAAAATGTTTTTTTGCAATCGTTTTGACACTCAATAACTACAGCAAGTCGTTGAGGGGATATATTGTTTGAGGGATAGAGCAGTTTTGTGGGTTCTAAAAATATATTTCAATATTTCAAATGCGACTAACTAGATATTAAAAAATATGTCCAAATCCAACTTCCCAGTGCAGAACAGTTGGATGATTTATTTTATTTTAAAAACCTTCTCTAGTTTTCTTCGTTTTCACAATTGCTGCTTTAGTGAATTATGTGCCAGCCTTCTAGCACGCCTAAATTAGGAAAAGTAAAGTACTTTAAAGAGTAAAGTAAAAGTTAAAAGTAAAAGTACAGCAACAATATAAAAACATGTGACATGTGGTAGGAATCCCTGCCTTATTATTTAAGTTATTATTACCCTTTTTATTATTAGCCTTACTACATGTTGGCAGTTGACAATGAAATTTAGGCGCGAATAATTATTTCTAGTGATATACAATTAAAACTTCCTCTTTACTAAAGGCTAAAGGCTTAAAATAGCGTCTTTTCGTTCGAATACAATAACCAGTTAACAAAATTGTACAAGATTTTTTTTTTTTTAAATGTACATTTTTTTTAATCTTTTGTCATTTTACGACGCCATTGTGGGAAAAACAAGGAGAGGAGAACTCTTCTGTCTTCAAAGATACGTCATTAAATTTGCCCAATAGGATATGTGTAGATTTAAATATTTTTATGTTTATTTTATAAATCTATCTACTTTGTCTGATATTTCTTTCTAGCCCACTGGATCCATGCATAGCCATATAAAGGTGGTACTCGCAAGGGACCTCAAAATCAGGGGGCGCATTCGCCCAGGGCGCTGCTTTTCCTTTGCACGGTTGTCCATCCATTACGGACGTAACGCGGCTAGAATTTTGAGGGTGGGAGTTAAGTGGGAAATGTTTGTTAAAACTTTAAATGAAATTGTCAATTTCCTTTCTTAAAAATTTGTGCCAGTTTCGATTTCTTTCGCAACAAATAGCTGGTGATTTACTCAGACTAAGAGGCAAAAGCTGGAAAGTAATGAAATATATGTCAATAGCGAAATAAACACCATTCAACTCCATTGCAAACAGATTATTAACAAAGCAACTTGGTTCCATCAAGAAACATAAAATCACTAACACTGCCTCTCATTTTACTCATCACAAACCAAAGTCAACTTAGGAGGCATCTAAATAATTAAGTTCCATCTATCAAATTAGAGCTGACCAACCACAGACCATTTAAATGCTTATTTGCCTACTATGACTCACAATTGTCGAGAAAATGTCAATCCATTTGCATAGGACGGGGGCTGTGGAAGGGGTGGTCCACACAGCTACCACTTTTTTTTTTTTTAATTTATAATGAGGGGCGGCATTTTCGGCGAGCTGAAGAGTTTGTTGTTTGATTTTTTAAAATTTGTTTTTAAAACTTAGTGCTAGTGGGTGGCACAATTTTCTAGTTAACATATCGCAACATAACCCCTGGTCCGCTCGTAACGTTTCCCAGATCTGCTCATTATGAGGACACGTGACACATCAACCAACGCTTGGACATTGGTCGCTCTCTATTGTTGGGGGAATTCTATAACGTGGCCGAGTCTCTCGCTTCGCACCTTTTTTGGCCCATGTGCTGTTTCCCTGGCCTGGCCAGCTAATTACCAAAGTCATTCACTGATACACTAAAGTAATTCGTCGGCATAGCTAGAGCGACGTGGCCTCCACAGCCTTGTCATGTTTCTGGTTAGTAAGGCTGTGGGCAGCAACGCAGTCGCCGCGGCTTCCCCATGTATAGGTTTACTTTAAGCAGATTTCTGATCGTTAATGCTGCATAAACTTTATGGTTTGTGTCCGTTGCGGTGACCGTACAAATGAACGCAGGACATGTAAACCCACAAACACAGAACTAGTGAACCAACGGACAAGTTAACACGCAGAAAAGTGAATACCGGTATAGAACATAGACAGCTGAACCCAACAACTGGGTTTGAAATGCCTTGCTGAGATAATCGTTATTTTTTTACTTGTTCTTGTAAATTTATTTTCACTGCTAATTCACAATGATTGGTCCAATCAAATCTTGAGTGGAAATAATAAGTAATTCAAAATATAGAAACACATACAATCAGAGAATAATAAATATTTATTTGATCTGTGAAAGAAATGAGTAAGTAAAGTTTGTATATGATTTTTTAAAGGAATTTGGCTAATACAAGGCCATAAGAGGACTCCATTTTTACCATAACATTTGAATAGCAGTGCATCACAGTGACCAATGCATGAAATGCTGCTTATTTTAAATGTGATGCTAGTGGCATGATTATTATATAGCAGATGTAAAGTTTTGTAATGCTTTTAAATTTGGACGACAATGAATTCATATTTCAAGAATACATGTGAGATTTTTTAAAACAAATTTAAATGGATGCTAAAAACAAACACAAGCATAAATTTAAAAAGAGGATTTCATTTTCATTGAATTTGAAAATGATTTTTTTTTTTTAAAAATACAAGTAACAAAAAGCCAAAGTTTAAAAAGAAAAGCTAAATATGATAATAAAATAACAGGTCCAAAAAAATTAAGAGGCTAAAATACTTTCACATTTTATTGCAACTATTTAAAATTTCATTTTTATAATTTAGAAAATATTTTTGTCTTTCAATATGACATTCACACAAGAAAGATAATAATAATCACAATAAAATACAAATCCTTTGTTATATATGAGTCCTATTTGGCACTGGATTTATTGTTTTTCTGCCACGTTAGATAACATGGAATGGATTCACTATTTTACTTCCCATCTTACTTTGTAACTGTAATACCGGTACCCGTAACGTTTTTTACCTTATATTTTATTCATGATTCATATTCATCAAAATCTTTCAATGCACCAATGAACCATTTGCAGCACAGCAAAGCATTGCATCATACCAGTGTGCCTCAACATGACTTTTTTTAAGGGCAATTTTATTTTAATTTTTTTCTATCTTCAGATAATATGAGCCACAATGAGAATTTTCCAAAATAATTTTTAACAGTTAATTATCACATTCACAGAGTCACCAGATTATTCATGGAGATTTTGGAAGAAATAAAACTGCTTGAGCTGATATATTTTATTGTTAATATTTATATATTTACAGTCACACCTTGTAAATGTAGAAGGCCTTTCTATTTAAGCATATATCAGTAACAAAATATTTGCAAATTGAAAGAGGCAGATCAATTTAAGATGCCAGAATAGAATCACAATAAACTTTGGAGTCTTGTATAAATAAACTTAACACTAATATTCTTTTATCTAGTTTTGAAATTGATCCAAAGAAACCTGATCTGGCCACCAACAATTTTCTACAGTCCAGTGCAGTACTATAAATCAGTGGAAACAAAATTGTAAATAGGGAAGGTACTACATAAAATAATTAACTATTTAATATGTTTTAATTGATGATACCATTGATACTTAAAAAATTTAATAAAATAAGACATATTTTGTTATGGCACAAGTCTAAATTGACATTTCTGTTAAATGTCATCTTGTATAATTATCATATAATTAACAATATCTTTAGCAGTTGTGAACAAGGCTTGAGTAATAGAAAATGCACATCTTTCTATTACCAATATAAATTTCTGTGGCAAGTTTCAACAGCATTTACAATTATAATAATTTAAAAAAATAACATATCCTGAATAACGATAGTCAGTTCATAAGCAAAGCTATAAAATGATATGTGGTCAGTAAAGATAGAGAGAAAATCATATCATATGCACAAACAAAAAAGCACTAAAATGGCACCACCCAACAAGGGTGTATGCTCTGACGTACATCTATCAGCTTGTCGATGCCAACTGAACACCCTACAAACTGTAAAAGAGGTCTTCAGTCACTAGTTCAAGTCTCTGCTTCCTCTGTGAATCGGTAGGGGATCAGGGCAGCTGAAAGATATGCTAAGCTGAGACAGGCATGAAAAGGGCCTGGGATGCATCCCACTGCTTAGGGGCAACAGACTAAATTGTGAATTCATTACTAATAAACTATGATATAACCTAATATAAGTAGGGGTAAAAGTGGTACATCAGATAAAGGGATGGGAGCACCATGTTAGATAAAATGCCTATAGTGAAGTTGTTAGAGTACAGATTTTTTTTTTTAATTCACTTCCTCTAAACAAGTAAAAAAAACTGAAGTGCATCCACAATCAAACAAGTAATTTTCCATACTGTACACATAGTTATTTTGGAGAGAAATATAAGCATTGAAATCTGAGCAATTGATTGAGCAGGAAACACAGCCACAAATATGAAAATATCTGTACAAAATGTCTCTGTGATATTTGGATAAACAATTTTAATAAGAGGATAGCAGGAAATCAGAGCAGAGGAAGCTAAAGGATTTGCAGTGAAGCTTATTACCAGACAGGAAAGACAAAATCTGGCCGCATGCCAACCAGAGGGTCTTTCATTCCCTCCTCATCATCAGTTATGCTGTTAGTGTAATCAGAGTATCATTTATTAACATTTATTTTTAAGATTATTTTAAACATTCAGTTAATTTCACCCCTGGCACATTCTAAAACGTTTCACAAAAAGATATAGAGCAGTATTAAAGGGTGCAATAGCAGTTGTAAGATTACCTTATTATTCACTTTATAACAAGAAGTCAATGGGGTTTTATCAACCCTGTTAGTTGATACTTGTACAAAATAGTTGATTAAAAAATATATGCTAGCCCTCTTCAACACAGAGCTTCTTTTAAAATTGTATAGGTAACAAGTATGAGATCAAGCCTGGAATACTTTTTTGCTTATACACTGAGCCAGTGCTTGCTAAAAATCAACATTAAAAAACACATCCGGGTATAAGAGACCAAAAAAAACATTTGCCTTAACCTCTATACAAAATATTTGATGGCACTTTGAAACATAAGCCTATCAAAAACTGTATTTTTCTGTGGACTCAAAGAATTCATTTCAAAGCAGGAAAGGAAAAAAACAGCTGAAATCGTTTCTAATAGAAATCCGATATGCTCATTTCTTTATTTCCACTTTTTTTTCTTGCTATTTTGTTGTTTTTTCCAAAAGTATTCTTTTATACAGCACATTATTTGTTTCTATTTGTTTCAATACTTCAACATTGCTTGGGATTTTTTTACACATACATCACACATTTTGATCCCAGTCTCCACCATTTTTAAAATTAAGTTCAACTGCTTTGAAGTTTCAGTCATTCAGCAGGTCTCACAAATTCACCCGCATTTTTTTCTTTTAACAATTTTAAAAAAAGAAATCGGAAGATACATAGTCATCCTGCGGGCTTTTACTAGTAACTGACATGCATTTAATTGAGACTTTGTAACATTGAGACAGATCCTTCTCATTTCATTTCCCACTTAAATATAAAGTACAGTTTTATAAATACAGTGCACACAATAAATGTAATTTTATTTCATTTGGCTCACTTTTGAAGTTTAAAACTATATGTTGTGGTTTGTTGTTTTTTTCATTTTCTTTTTAAGGGTAAAGAAAGAGTTAATGGCATGAATTCTTATTTATTTATTGACAGTTTTTTTTGATAATAGAAAAGCAATTGTGTCAATGTTCTTACATTTTTAATATGCACAAGAGGTTTGGTTATGTGGAAACCTCACTAAATCCTGCTGATATATTATGCACCACAGATTGATCGAGTTGAGCATCATGCTATACATATATATAACTAGTGGCAAAGTCACAAACAAGTATATATATATTTATAAATTTTAAAAAATTCTTTTGGCTGTGCAAGTTTATGTATCAAAAAGCTAACAAACTAAAAAAATTGCCTCATTGAATTGTCATTGAAAGCATCAAAATATAACATACTAGTGGTAGATATGAAAACCAGGTACACCCACATTCAATCAGTCAAATTGTTTGCACTTGCTTAACCCTTTACAGTCCGATGCGCCCGAAATGCGCCGATTTTTTCCTTAAGCCTACAGTCCGATGCGGCCGAACCCGCCCGTTTCGAGGTTGTTTACTTTCGTTCTTAGCACAGCGGAAATCCATTGCGCATTACTATTTATAGTTCTACCGGAAGAAAGCCTCGTTGTCTGCATTTATTTTGATACTAGTTTGACCGCGGTGTGTTTAGGGTCTGATTTTCTATGATTTTTTTAAAAGTCGTGATTTTTTCGCTGTAAAGAATGGCTATCTAAGCCTTGGATACACTTTTGAAAGAACTTATGCCTAATGAAGCTTCACTATTTCATGAGTGGGAGGGTCTCTGAAACTATTTTTAGGTTTAACTTTTGCTTTAATCATTTCTTTGTATTTAGGTAGTTTTTATTTTATTTTGTTGCTTCTAGTTTATTTTCTGTAAATTAATTAGATAAAGAACCTTCATTTAAAATGGAGTTATGTCCCTTTGCTTGGGAGCTGGGAGTAGACAAGGCTGAATAGGTTTGGACTGTAAAGGGTTAACTCAAGAACTTCTTCAACAGATAGCTTTCCAACTCTTAAGTAAAGTAAGACTGATGTCATTTTAAGGGAAAATGGCTACTGAAAAGATACAATGTTAAAGCTTGGCAGAGATGGAACAGACTGCAATCCCACAAATACCAATCAGAATGTGTTCCAACTGAGGCAGATAATTATTATTTTGTAAAAAAAAAAAAAATTTTTTTAAATTCAGCATGTTAATTATACAGTTTAGTATGGTGCAATACAAAGCAGGGCAAGGATAGAAATTTGTGTTGTATGAAAATACAGTATAAGTAAGTCATGTCCTATGAGACTGAGATTCCATAATTGTGCATCAACAAACAGCAGACTGAAATGTAGAAGTAAAAAGAACCCTGTCAAGCAACTGATGGCTTTACATTAACAATTTATTAACAAACGATTGAATGTAAATATTTGTACATAAAAAAATTCTGAAGTATGGTAGTTGGTCCAGGTGGCAAGAATTATTAATCCAGCTCCTCATTGAATAATCTGGAGAAGAAAAAAAATTCAAATCATAAATAAGGAAAACATTTTTAAATTTGAAAAAAAACTAAGAATTCTTAAAAAAGAGCGAAAATCAAAACCTTGAAAAAAATAAATTTTAAAATCTGTCGCAAATGAAAATATTTCACAAGGTAAATTTCAGCTACGGAGTTGACTTTGGGAACATTAATTGTTTTTGTTTTAATCTTTCTGACTTGGTTTATAATAATTATATGATTGCAATGGTGTGTATCTTACAAATTTCTGACTTGGTTTATAATAATTATATTATATGATTGCAATGGTATGTATCTTGCACATTTCTGACTTGGTTTATAATAATTATATGATTGCAATGGTGTTTATCTTACAAATTTCTGACTTGCTTTATAATAATTATATGATTGCAATGGTGTGTATCTTGCAAATTTCTGATTTGCTTAATAATAATTACATGATTGCAATGGTGTGTATCTTACAAATTTCTGGAGTGAAAATTTTGAAGTTGTCTTCCTTTTTTTTTAAGCATTAATAAACATTACCACATTAGAAAATAAAAACACTGGATAATAAGATGAGATAAGGTCAGTCAATGGAATATGAACCTTTAAAAATATATTACTGGATTTAAACAGCACTGACACACACACAGGACATTAACCATTATAAACACTTACATTAAATGGGCTACTGATTCCGCACAGTGAGTTTTTCCTTGTCAGGTAGCATATCAAATATTTGCCAGGAGTTAAGGGGACCAGCTGAGAACTTGGAAAGTGAACAGATACCGGAACTAGGGAATTCGATGTGTCTGCTGTTTTGGCCCATACGTAGGTGACAAAAGAATCAAAATCTGTGAAGTCCTCCTTTGTATTAAACAAAAATTACAAGTGTTTTTAGTATTGTTGTAATGTCATTGTATTTAAATGAGAGATATATGAACAAAGGGAGTTTTTTGGAGGTTTTTTTAATCAAGGATTTAAAACAAGAAATTATCATCGAAATGGCAGTTATTATCATTTTTACTATGGCCCAGATCAACATGAAACAACACCAGCATGTGTTACAGTAGACACAGTTTGATAAAAAAAAATAAACAGTATGTTGCAAGATCAACATGAAACAATACCAGGGTGTGTTACAGTTGACAGTTTGATAACATACCAAATAGTATGTTGCAAGATCAACATGAAACAACACTAGCATGCGTTACAGTTGACACAGTTTGATAACAAACCAAACATATTTCAGGGCAAATTAACAAACACCTCTAGAAAATTAGCTTCTGTCTCATTTATCAATTAGTTATGAAAGCAATGTTACAGTTCTCTTACTGGCATATTATATTTGTAAATGTAAGCAATAGTCTCAACCAAATTTCCATCCACCAGCCCACCAAACTCATGTGTTAAAGATTCACTTGTGTGTATATTTTGCTTCCAGTGTAAAAATTTTAATACAACTGGTTTTGAAGATCACCAACATTGATCACGTCCCTTTTAAGTTTACTTATATTGATTACTTCCCTAGTTCTATGATCTCTGGATTTAACTTGTTTTCAAAATTTCAATCACCTCAAATGAATACTTGATTTAATCCCCTTTTCAATAAATCAGCCCTTCTTTTGACAGCATGCTTACCTTGTAAAGTCCAATCCAATCTCCATATGCAACCTTGAAGTCCTTCCTCACAAAGTAAGTCACTACCTGGTCTTTTTCTCTGTACCATGCAAGAGTGTTGAAACGAAAACTAATCAGACTCTGTACTCCTCTAGGTAAAGTCTGTATAGAGGAATAGCAACAATAAGATGTTTGCTTTCTCCACTGTTAAAATTTAAGTTGGATGAGAAAACAAAATCACAATGCCCTTAAACCAAAGTCAGGTGTAAAGAAAATGTATTTTTTGATATATGAATAAATATTGCAACATACTTTAAACTCTAACAGTGCAGACACAGGTTTGTGGTCACTAGTTTTATACAAGGGGTGGCTCCGGTACTGCACAAGTTTTGCCTCTAGTTGGGTTTTCCCATAGGTAGCATTATGATAGTAGTAGAGGATTCTGTCTGTGTAGGCAGGCACTCTACATTTAGGGCTGTTGAGAGAAATTTGATGATTTTATTGCGTTTTTTTTTTGTTTTTTTGGGTTAATAACCGGTCGTTGTAAATTGTAAAGTAATAACAAATTTATTTATTTTCTTGTGAATGTCACAAGTAACGAAATGATTCTAAATAAATTCTTATTTTGCATTTTATTTCCTGCAGATTTTATTTTTATGATGTTATATTAAACATTTTTTAAATTTTTAAGGGGTCGTTTGCAAATTACGTCACACAAAAAAATGACCCTTTCAGACCCACCCCTCCCCGTCACAAAGTGTCACAAATATTAACTTAGATATTATTTTATTCTTTAAAATTTTCCCATAATGGATTAAGATGTAGTATTATTAGAAAACTGTGACGCAAAACAATGAAGTCCTCACCGAGCCGAATGTAAAATGGCTACAACAGAATTGCGTCATTTTTTTATATGCACAGAAGGTGTGCACAACTGAGTTTCACGCTACCTATAATACCATAGGCAATTTTGACCTCAATTAAAAGTTTTTAATTTAAATTGAATAAAGATTTTTCAAAATTAGAAAATTTTAGATTTTTAAAAAATAATATTTTGTAACGTCACAAATTTTCGTCCCCCTCCCCCGAGCATGACGTAATTTGCGAACGCCTGCAACCAAAAAAACTCGATTTTGGTCCCTTCAATCATTTCCGACTATTGTGACTAAATGTGTTATTCAAGCGTTCCAATACATGTGACCAAAGGGTCCTGGTGTTTAGCGTCACACCTCTCGTGTTTATTTTTTTAAAATCGCTATGAAATCTCATGTCTCCTGAGACTTCCGGTGATGGCTGGATTCTGCATAATTTCAATTTAAAAACCCTCAGTTTTTATCATGTTTCACTTTCGATTACAAAAATAAAAATGAAATGTAGACAAATTGATATGAAATGTACATAAATAGATCTCATGAGTTGCATAAAAATAGATACAATTATGAAAAGTACACAATTAGATCTGATGAAGAAATATACAAAAATAGATCTCATGAAATGTAGACAAAAAGATCCAATGATGAGATATACACAAATAGATCCAATTGTGAAATGTACATATAGATATGAAATGTACACAAATAGGTCCAATGATGAGATGTACACAAATAGTTATATTATGAAATGTACACAAATTAATCTCACAATGAAATGTATACAAATTAATCTCAAAATGAAATGTACACTTATAGATCTGATTATGAAATGTACACAAATAAATAGGATTATGAAATTTTCCACCATTATTGATAAATGAATAGAAAGTTTTTAAAATTTCACCCCGTTTGAAGAGAAACCTAGCAGAACTATGCTACCATCTCTGTCCAGATTAAATCAAACCATTAAAGAGATTGGTGACATGATTGATAAAGCCTGACTTGTGTGGGACAGCTACATCTCATACACTACACAATAAAGAATGTATTAAAAAAAGCCTCACCTTGTGTCATAAGTATCTGTACCTGGGTCAAATTTGTACGTAGGTGGGAAAGTTAATCGTCCTTCTAAAAAGTTCTCAAAAATTAGACCTTCCTCAATGGCTATGTGAAGCTGGGGATTGTGAAAGGAATGTATGAGCTGTCATGTAAAACAATGAATGCAAGTGAGTCCCTTTCACTTTGGTTTTGTTTGTTCAAATAAAATATTGTACCATACATGAAATAAGATATTGTACCATACATAACATAAGATATTGTACCACCTATCCAATGACTCTAGATCAGCAGTTCTCAACCTGTGGGTCGCGACCCATTTGGGGGTTGAAGGACCTTTACGCAGGGGTTGCCTAAGACCATCGGAAAACATATATTTATGAAGTAACAACGAAAATAATTAAATGGTTGGGGGTCACCACAATGAGAGGGACTGTATTAACGGGTCATTAGGAAGGTTGAGAATCACTGCTCTAGAGGGTTAACCGGTATTTATAACATAAGTTTCAAGTTACCTGATCACTCTCATAAAGCCGCTCGTACTGTTTCTCATTGATTAATTCTAGGACACGATTGTAGGATCTTTCAATGCGGAAGTTCATGTCTCCCATCCAGAAAATGTAGCTGAAGGAATAAAAAATAAAATGTGCAAATTATTAGAGGCAGCCACGAGAAATGTGAGTCGCTGTCTGACATGATATACAGAGTGATAAAATTGAATGGGGTTGGTTTACGTCATGGGTTTGAAAGAAGAAATGCTGTCACCTCCCCTCCAGCTTATCTGACAATGGTCACATGTACTTTATGTTAAAAAAAATAAATAATAATTCCGATATAGTGCCATGAGGGAATTCAAAAAGTGAGATTGTGCAGCATATGTAACATCATGGGGTAATTAAATTGTTAAAATATGTCAAGAAATCAAATTATAAAATTCACACAATATGTGTCCTTAAAAACCTTGTTGGAAATCAACTCCCCAAAGGAACAAGGAGCTATGTTTTGTGCATTCCAGAGGGTCCTATTCTATTTATTAACAAATGCATTTGACAATTAAAATGTAATAAATTATCTCAGAATTACTCATGATCCAATATGTTGTCAGTATCTTGGTCTTTAAACTTCTGAGTTGCAAGAATCTGGTCAATGTTCTGTGAAAATATCAATGGTTCAAGGAAATGGAGGATCTGCAGAGAAATGACTTTGCCTATGTTCATAATGAAGATAAGACCCATTAATTATTTCCTAGTTGAATTTATTTTCCTAAGGGAGATAAAAATGTCAAACATGATGTTAGTCTATGTGTGGCCAGCTTGGTAATTATCAGCTTTTATAATGTTCTCCCGTATTATGGTTCCCGACATTTATGCTAAAAAACAAAGTTTGCATGACGTCAGCAAAAATTGCTGGTTAGAAGAACCAATATCCTTTATATCACCCTTCTGTATTTTCTAAAACATAGCATATTTTTATAATGTTTATGTCTTGTTGGCCACACGCTGAGAATTCATGAACCAAACTTTGGCCAGCACACTGGGAGTTCATGAACCATATTTTGGCCACCCATAATCTACATAAATTTATATACTCAATACAGCTTCTCTAGCCTACTAAGCGCAGTGTTATCTTTAATCATTCATTGCAGTTGACAAAATTAAATATCATCCTAATGGCAACAATCACATCCAGCACAAGTTCTGTTTATAAAAGTTTAGATAAGCTAAGATATGTTTAAGCTGGTTTAGATAGGTTCTGGTTATACAAGTTTAGATAAGCTTTGCTAAGTAATGCCTGTATCGTAACTTGAGTGTGACCTCTAACAGTGTATTACGGAGTTAGCAGTTTTGGTTTTACATAAAACTAAAGGTGGGGAACTACAATAACCAGTAACTTCCCGTATCCCCCGCCATCGCCCGATAGCGTTTTATACCGTATCGCCCGCTGTAGCCCGCCATCGCCGGCTCTATACACATAGCAAATAAACGATGTATTGGACCATAAAAGTTTGGTTTAAAATGGTAAACAAGCTATAGTTGGAAAGTAGAAAAGCTCTACTTCCTCTTCCTTTTTACCGGAACGAAATACATTGAGAAACACGCGAGCTACACATTTTTGAATCTCAACATTGAAAGCATGGCATTCAGATACCTGGAAAGTTTGGTTCAGCCTTCAGTGTCCAATATTTCAAACAATTCTGACAGTGATAGCGATTCAAATGAAAGTGACATTGAAAATGGAATAGGAGAAACACCTTTTGAAAGTGTAAATAACAGTGAATTTGAAAACCAGAGCTCTGACGACGACTCGATAGGTGATGATAGCGATAATGAAGCTACTCCTACCGAGACTTTTCCCTGGAGTGCTAATCTCAATCCAGTAGAAATTGACATGTTTACATCAGGAGTTGGGCCTAATCTTGACAATGTAAACGTTGAATATCAGTCACAGCCATTTGAATTTTTAAAATAATTTTTTCCTGATAATTTAAATTGAAATTATTGCTGACCAGACGAATTTGTATGCTGCCCAGAGAAATGCAAAAAATTTCACCCCTGTCACAGTCAGTGACATTCAAACCTTCATATATATAAATATGATGTTTGGTGTCCACAAATTGCCTGCCTATACGATGTACTGGTCAACAGATCCTCTATTAAAAGTTCCCTGTGTAGCTGATGTGATGTCCAGAAACAGGTTTCAGGAAATTTCAAGATACTTCCATCTGGCTGACAGCAGGTATTTCATACCGAAGGGACGAGATGGATATGATGCTCTATATAAAATTAGACCTGTGATCACAGTTCTCAAAGCTGCCTGTAATTCACTTTACAGACCTGGAGCTGCTATAGCTTTTGATGAAGCTATGATACCTTTCAGGGGTCGTCTCTCGTTCAAACAGTATATAAAAGGAAAGCCCCACCCATGGGGTGTCAAAGTGTGGTGCTGCTGCGACTCGGCAACATCATTCCTTTTAGACTTTGAGTTTTACACTGGAAAGTCGGACACTGTGATGCCTAATGGACTGGGTTACAGTGTCATTCAAAAATTAGGACAGCCATATCTTCATAAAAACCACCATTTTTATTTTGATAATTATTTTTCGTCCGTGAAATTAGCACAGGACCTGCTATCCAGCAGCACATATTCATGTGCAACGACACGACAGAACAGGAGACACTGGCCCAAAGACCTCAAAGGAAAATTAAATAAAAATCAGTGCCAAATGAGGCAGATAGGGAGTTTGGTTGCATGTTGGTGGAGGGACAAACGTGCCATCTCCATGCTCTCAACCAACGCCTCACCTACAATGGACACTGCATCACGCCGGACAAAAGAAGGCCCTGTTGATAAACAGATCCCCCAGTCTGTTTTGATCTACAATGCCAATATGGGTGGTGTGGACAGACATGATCAGCTGAGATCATACTACCCTATTGGCAGAAAAAGTCACAAGTGGTGGAGATGCTGCTTATGGTTTCTAATTGAGGTGGCGGCGCTGAATGCATACATCTTGTACAAAAACATGCCACGCCCCCCGACATCAAAGCCAGTTTCCCATTTCCATTTTCATATGGACATTGCCCGTAGCCTAATGAAAGGCTCTTCAAGGAAAAGAAGGCAGGTGGAGGTCCCTGCTGCCGGGGGTTTGGCTGTTCCTGGAACTTCTGTGGAGCATCGCAGGATTCGGCTCCCAGGGCGCAAAAAACAATGTTTTCAGTGTCGCCAGAAAAATATCCGCACTGAGTCTAATAAAAGACCTGAAACTGTGTTTGGGTGTGTGTTGTGTAACACACACCTTTGTGATGAGCTGTGTTTTGCTCAGTTTCATGCACAATTAAACTGAGGTTAAAATTTATCAATAAATGTTAAGAAATTATCCTTTAAAATTGTATTTTTTATATATTTTTCAAATTAATGATTTTTTTTATTATCTTACTTCTAAACAAACCCATACATATTTGGTATCATCTGATAGGTAATTCATTTCTCTTCACACTGATATTTTTTTCACACCATTTAGATTTTAAACTAGTGAGGTGCATTGATTTTTGTAAAAGAACTTAAATAGTTGTTTAGAGTTGTTCCCCTTACGTTGGGATAATATGGATGTTTTAATGTCAAGGCTAGGGGAAGTTAATGGATAATGTCAGAGTACAAATTTAAAAAAAAAAAATTCTCCATTATTAGTAGCTTTCTGGCAAGATCCTATCATGTTGTGTCCTCTTATGTTAAGTTTTTTCATTCTCGCCTAGTGATTACCTCACCCTGGGTTTTAACAGAATTCTGATTTGACTCACATTCATCCTCTCCACAACATTTTCCATGTGTGCTGCCAGGTGACAGTTGACAACAATCAAGTTCATCCCCATGATGTCAGCCCTAATACTGCATGCACCTTTATTTCCCTGGAGATTGAAAAATTGAAGAGATAGGAAAATTGAAGAGATAGGAAAATTGAAGAGATAGGCTAATTGAAAAGATAGGAAAATTGAATAGACAGGCAAAGTGAAAATCATGCCTGTGAAATGTTTAGACCAATTCTTTGTTGTACAGCAGAGGATGTGATCCATATTAGATCCTAGAGAATTATATATGGAAAGCAAACATGTACTTTTATTTAAATTTATTCAAACATCTTTACAGTTTTAGATTGTGATTTTTATTAATTAACTTTGAGAAGCTAAGAAAAGTTAAGGTCCTTAAATATAAAGAAATATTTTGTTCAAATATGTTAAAATTATAAAGGCAAATTAGTTTTTCAGTTGTAACATTTGACATAATATTTTACTCTTAAGAGTACAGTAAAATAAAAACATATTTACTTACATAAAATCCACCCAGACCAGTCTTTGTGAGTTCAGACTCTACACTAGTGACATACGGTAGAATGGATCTCTTTACAAACATTATAGTGATGATGCCAACTAGCTGCCTGCTTTTGATCTAAGTGAATTAAACAAAATGAGGCTCAAGTACATAAATATATCCACAAAATTCTATTACATATAAATACATGACATTATAAGTAACACAAGGGATTTGGGTAAAAATAAGTAAACGTTTTTAAAAAAAGATTTTGAGCCTCAATGGTAAATATAAAATGTGTAGTTCCTTGAGATCTCATTTTATTTAACAATATTCAAGTGTTGCTTCTTAACCCTATAACTGTGGTCGGCCGACAATATCGACCAATATTCTCATTCTGTGGTGTGGCGGCCGATAAAAAACACTGTCCGATAGCAACTTCCAATCCAATATCTAACCGAAATCATAGCCATTTCCTTTTATTAATAATTAAATCAACTTCCGGGTAAGCTGTTTCTTGATAACTTAGCAATAAGTGCTTTTTAATCGGAATTTTTTATCGCTGTTTTTTTTAAAGCAAAAATGGCGGAAGCTATGGCCGGGCCTTCAGTGCGAGAACTAATAGAAATATTTTTTAAAGCTTTTTAGGAGAGGATTTAAGTGATACTGATGATGATTTTAACATTCCCCACAACATCTCACTTCAGATTATTCTTTCCGTGAATCTGATACTAGTCTTAGTGATACTGAAGAAGGCCTACGGAGGCTACTGTTTGACTTTGAGCCAGGCCCGGAGGTTGGGCAAGGACAGACTGAATTTTAGTCAAAGAAGCTACAGATTATAGATCAGAACTAATAAATTTTATAGTTTAACAATCTAAATCAGTTCCATGGTTCCTTTTTAAATGTTTACTAGTCAATAATAACTATTTTGCCTGAGATTTTGTATTTTATAATTGGTTTAAACAGTTGTCCGAGTTTCTTATAAAAATGACCTAAAATTACTAAAATTGCTTTCAGATGTTTTATTGCAATCAAAACCTTAGCAAACTGTACATTTTCTGATAGATAAATGAATTGGCTACAACATTTAGCTTCGTGTTTTAATTATATCTATAAATATTAATGATGCTATGGGCACTTGAAAGCAAGAAATTTTGTCGATTTTTATTTTCTTGAGAAATTCATGGTCAAGGACACTGAGCAAAAAATTATTTACGGGTCCGGTTGGGAAATATGGCCAACTTTATCCCCATCCATTTACCTTTCTAAAAATATATAATTATTGGGGTCTTGCATCAATATTTCTATGTCATTTAATGCAATTTCAAAAGGCACTCAAAAAGCTCTGAAAAGCTCCACACCACAGAATGATGCATGCCACAATTCGAAGGTTAATCACCACGCATATACATTTTTTTATGGAATGTAGAAATCTGTTAAATTATAATTCAACTACATCTCTTTTCAAACAATTCCTTAATTTACTAATCTGCTCAAACTATTAAATGGAAATAATAATTTACCTAGATAATACTACCGCCTGTAAAAAAAAATTATGACTTACTTTGACATACTGAAATGGTTTTAAGGCACTTATCAAGGCAGCCTCCCAGATGTTTGAAGCAGCTTCTTGAATCCTTAAATTTTAAAAAAAATTGCCATCACAATAAAAGTAAAATAAATTCACTGACTTTTACAGATATATTTTCCTCCAAATTTTCCAAGATAAATATATTGGGAAAGTTTTAAAATGTATTTAATAAACACAAAAGAAAAGAAATTAAAATTTTTGAAAAGTAGATTTAAATCGTTAAAAGCTGATACACGATTTATTTTAGGGCCTAAATGAAGACATTTTATATGAAACAGACCTCCTAGACTTCACAAGACTTTTTTTATTCTTTCTTCCCTTCCAATGTTTGAAATTTCCGCCTCCATCACTCAAGTGTTTTCAAAACTTACCCAATTGCATAAATGTCTGGTAAGGGCAAGGCATCTAGCTGAAGGAGATTGCTGAAACTTGCAGGGGGTGGTTTCCCATGGACATTCCATGTCACAAGGTATATACTTAGCATATGGGAGAATAAAAAGAAAATTAGTGTCATAAAAGCAGAACTTTTGATAAAACACATGATCATGGTTATTGACTTATATAACCCAAATGATTCCATTTCATTTTACTAGCAATCAACAACTTATTCATAACATAGTTCATTTAATAACAATTTTAAAAAAATCAAAAACAGCTTTGATTTTCTGGAGTACATTCAAGTACTGAAAAAAATATTGCAATGGATAGCTGAAATGCTTAGTGCTTAGGAACTTAGTTGAGTTTTTTAAATATAGTCTAATCTCACAAGACAATCCATACAAGGGTATTTTTATAACAAGTGTGTTAAGCAGTTTAATGACAATGTTAGGCTTCAAACACAAAGCCTGATAATTATGACTTAAAAGACCTGCATTAAACTTTAGGGAAATTAAAGCTAAGAGATTTAAACTATTTTCTGAGAATAATTTTTTGTTCAAATGTTTTGAGTTGAAATACTGTACATAAAATATTTTTTACCATTTATTTTATCCTCTAACCCCTTTTGGGTGCAAACATTCATTTATATATTTTTTTTAAAATTTAAACTTCATTAGTCTTAGATTTCAACAAGTTCAAACTTATATCATAAATATTTTGGCCCTCTAGTATGTGAACTATATGTTTGTTAACAAAAGAACAAACAAAAATAACTTGAATACAAAATTGAAACTAAACATATTCTTTAAAAGATTGATTGGCAGGTTTTTAAAATAATTTTTTTAATACATAAAGACATGATTTCAGATATTTTTTTTTTTAAATTTTACATTCTTTAAGCTAATGATGTGTTGTTAAGGTGTTTGCTAAATATATCTGAAAGCTGCCGACTGGTTTCACCAACATAGCACATATGGTAGCGAGTGCAAAATGATGGTGTATGCATTGAGGCTTGTGAAGAAGAAACTGTCCCTTATCCAAAATATACCCTTTTCTTTTTTCTATTTATTTCTGTACATTCTTTAGTTCCCAACCATTTCATGCATTTTTCGCTAACTCTCAAAAGCATAAGGCAAGTTTTTTTATTTTATTTTGTTGCTCACTTGTTTTTTTTTCACTAAAAAAGGCTATCTGCTAACACATCAGTAGCTTCGTATTGTCCCTTTTCAGGTTTTCCCCTACCTTGTGCTACTTTTTTCATTTTACCTTATTTGATGTTTCCCCCTTCCCCCATTATTCTTTTCCCCAAGCTTCAAATTATCTACTTTTTAAACTTTTCAGCTAGTGAGTGGATCATCTATATTCTTAGTTTCTGTTAGGTATCAAAACAATGAGGAAATATAAGTAGGTCTATTTAAGTACCCTGTATTGAAAAATAAGACTACAGGTTCTGATGTTTTCGGCAAAGATGACAGTTTATCTTTGCATCATGAAGCAGTTTGGAAAAAGTACATTGAGGTCTAAACTGGTCAAAGAAAGGTTAAAGAAAGTTCAGTTCCTTGTGTCACTGCTAGGATTTAACAAGTGATTTATCACATACTGCTCAAACAGCTTAAGTCTGTATATGCAAAATTTCTCAGTAAAAACATCCAAGAAACATTAAAATTAATTTATTTAAAAACATAAGGTAATGAAATTTATTAATCTTATTGAAAAACTGCATGAAGATTAAAAGGTCTTCTTTGAAATTTCATTAAAATGGAACAATGAACTTGAAAACAAATTTCAATATAATATTATTTTCCACCATTCTTGAAAAAAACCAACCTAAAATATTGTATTCTTTTTGGTCTAGGACAGATAATACTATATCTTCTTTCACCAGTGTCAGCTGAAGTTGAGTATGGTATATTATCTGAATCATTAGATAATCTGAAATAAGGATACCAAATACCAAACCACACGAATGAATTTTTATTTTCACTAGCAAATGGTCAAATGTTTAATGAATGGATATGTTGTTTTTATAAGATATGTTTCAATGCTGTTACGGAAGCTTCCACACTCATAAATTCTAAGCTGGTCTTGAGGAAGTGTGCTTCAAAGTTGTGGTGTGCACTTTGTTTCCTTTACATTATTCATTAAAGCGACAGCTTCATTAATTTTTATTTGAGTCAGATGTGGATAATATAAAGTGAGCTGCACACAGAAATATCAAAAAGTAATAACAATATACAGCACTGTTAGCACTTCCTGAATACCTTCCACCATTCCAGCAATTAATTTCTTAACCACTGCCCTGCCTATCCTCCTAAAGCATATGTGTCCTAATTTTCAAACATATTGATGCTTTTGAGGCATGTTAGCTGCTTATAAGTGTACTCTATCTTGTATGTGTAAGTAATGCCTTCAGCTGATCAACTGCTCCCACAAAACCTCTGTATATAAAGCCATGCCCAACATTCCAGCAATTGAAATTAAAAGGCAATCAACGAAAACACATATTCTAAATTTTGATTTTTACTATAGGATACTTCAAATAAACTTAATAGTTCTTGTATTAAAATTGCTTACCTTGGAAAGTTCAGAGATGGTAGTATGTGTGTAATTTTAGACAATGATTCCATTTTTTACTAACAAAATGTTTTTACCAGCTTCAGCAGTAACATCTTATGTCATAAGTTAACTTCAATCAAATGCATAACTATCTGGGGAAAAAATTGTTGTAGAGAAAATAGAAACAAAGTAAAAATTATAGGAGAAGAGTTTCCCAAACTTTTCTATACACTGAACCACTTACAAATTTATTGATTGTTCTCCCTGTCCCTTCTAATTATTTGACTGATTCTCACATCCCCAAACAAATGCATTTAAAAAATTATTTTTTTAAAATTACTTCTAAACTTTTTTTTTCTTGAGTTACAATGAAATAAATTTAAATGTTAAAGAAAAAAAAATTAAGGAATATATAATAAACAATTAATATCATTACTGGAAAGTCAATTCAATGGCTATTTTGAAGATTTCCCCACCCCCCTTTTTTTCCCCTCATCATCACAAATTAATAACAAAATTTAGACACCTTCATAATACATCATCACAAGTTTGTGAGGACCCCCCCAATCCTGGATGTCATTTATGGATGACCCAAAATATTGATGGTATTATTGATATTTATAATTAATACTAATATATTTAGTGTTAAAAATACTATTCTTAGTCTAATGACCAGACTAACTATCAGACTAACTTTAAGACTAAAATGGCATGATAAAATAAGATGACAGTCAGCCTATTTTAAGTTAATAACACTTACTTTTGCATCCTACCACTGCCGTCCAATATTGCCCTTCAACTTTAATGGGACTATAGCAATACCAAGAACTAAATAATAATATAATTATAAATATAAAAATGAAATAATTCATAACTGGGCCTATGTATATGCCAATAGGCCTAAATATTACTTATAGCCATTCCATGGTACCTAGGCCTACTGCTATTTTTAAATCAGAAGTATAATCGTCCATAAATGATGTCACGCAAATTTTGACGATTATTGACACTGCTTCCCCCCATTGTCACAAATCACCACAATATGTTAGACATCCCATAAAATATAACATCACAAACCTCTGCAGCCCCCTCCCCACCTTAAAAGATCACTATGTCCACTATTGTCCTTGACAAATCGCATGGGGTGTTGAAGACACAGAAAATTGTATTAGCTGCCATGGCTAATTATTGCGGCCTTTAAAAAAAATTATGTTTTATGCATTTTTATTAGCAGCAGTAAAAGTTTTTGAGGTGAAATTTGTTTGCTCATTAATTTTATTGGTGCATTTTGCTCTCATTCCGAGAAAGTTAATTAAAGAAATAAAACTACAATAACTAAATTATTTAATTATTTTCATTTATTAAAATTTTATTACAATATAGTTAATCAGTGAATACGGCGGGTAGGGTTTAAGGGAAATGTTTTAAAATAAATAGGGGATGTAGCACTACAAAAAGGTTATGAATCCCTGCCCTAGAAAATTTACTAGGATCATTTCTTCCCCCCCCCCCCCCACGTCAACTATTTTATTTTCCTTCCCACTACATGTGGTAGCCCTAATTTTATGACTCCCGTCTCTACTTTCCGATATAAATTCTCATGACTGTCAATGTCACTACACCCAAATTTTCTTCCTCTACAGCATCATGTAACTTGCTCATAGCAATTTTTCAGACCTCACATATCTGATTTTCTCAGAGATCGTGATTTAAAAATTTTAGACAATTGTAATTGTAGTATCAAAGAATATTGTTAAAAATGTCTTTATCCAGTGTAAACTTATTTTTCATTAATATTACGTGTTTTTATCTATGACAAATTGCTAAAACCCCTCCCCTCTAGTCACAAAAATGTTACCCCCACCCCATGCATGACTACAGTCACACAGCTGGATTCTCCTCCTCCATGGCGGCCTTGACCTCGCATAATACTATTTATTTGTAATAATTATAATAATAATATATGCCTACTGCCTACTTGATGAATTATTGATTAGGCCATGGCCATAGCCATCGCCATAATGACTGTCATTGTGACTGTCTGATAATGAATCATTGTCTTTATGATAATATGATGGCATTCAATTCATTCAAATTCAAAGCAATTATCATCATTATAATTATAATCATATTTAGGCCTAATTTAAAAAAAACTGTTATTAAATTATTTACAATAAATTATATTATATATAAATAGGGCCTATACCCTGAACTGGCTTCTATGATTTCTCATTATGACTCATTACTCTTTACTCAAACTCAATAACAATAAATTATTTGAATAAATATTGCTGACTAGACTAATAAAATTAAATTAGTATTGAAAGCATCAATCAAACAACTACCTGAATGCAGTTCTGCGAAAATTTTTATGTATATAGTTGCTATCGTTTGTTATAAAATTTCTAATTGCATTTTTAAATTAATAATAGTATATTGCATACACCTAGCATATTTGAAATAATAACAAAGCAAAACTGGTATTTATTCTAACTAATCAGCCATTTGATGACAAGGAACGTCAGAATATTGAGTAGGTAAGGGCGATAAACAATTTGTTAATCTGCCAGTTGGCAATAATTAATCGTGAGTTGTTGAAATGTCAGTTTTCTCCGTTTTTTACTAATAAAAATATTAAACGGATGGGATATGTCAACAAATCCGACAAAGATATATTTCCCAGTCCGTAAATCATTAAAAATTGGTGCAATTTACTAATTCGAACATATAATGTTGACATTTTTGCTTGGGGACAGAGAAACTAAAATCGTTTAGAATTTTATTTTCCTAATAGTCTATGCCTGAAACAATAAATCTCAGTCTCAGACCTAAGGTATGTTGTTCTAAAAGTTGATTGATACCAAAGAAAGGGGGCACCCTTCCCCCTTCATTATAATTTACTTAGGAATAAATGTAAAAGCTATATACTAATAAGTAGTGGTAATTGTGTGGGGGGGGTATGGTGGTAATTGTGTGGGGGGGGGGGGGGGGGGTTGGAAAAAAAAATT